TAGGATGTGAGTAAATTATTGGATCAAAGCTTCGTGTGATAGAGTTTAGTTAGGGTTAGGATGAGATGTTGGTGATGAAGTGTAACCGGTATTTCCAATTCTGTGTGCCAGCATTCAACATCGACGAATTGCAAAGTAGTTGTGCGGTCAATGACCGAGAAAATTTCTTTCTTTTAAAGACTAATCATGCATGCACTAAGAGATTGTTTTGATCAGAAAATGTAGGGTATTGTTCACTCATAAAAGCATTATTAGAAATCATGTTTGGAATAAATGTACTGATAATAATCCTTAAAAAACTTGAACATCATGTAGTTTGAAAAGGCCCATGATCTCTGCCTAAAAGGCAAAAAGCCCAAGAAAGGTACAATATTTAATTCAACATTGGGCAGTAATTTTTTTTTTAAAAGCGATTCTGTATTATATTATTTTTTATAAAAAGATATCTGAAAAATACATCAATTTTAATTTATTAAAATTATTAAAATACTTTAAGTTTTTTTATAATTATATTTTAAACATTTTTTAAAAAAAAGTACTTTTACTGCAAAAGGAAAACCCCAAACAAACGGTTTTTAATCTCCAACCATGCATTTTCCAGAGAATGTTGTGTTCCCTTATTTAAAATAAAAAAATAAAAAATTACTGAGGTATCATGAGATTTGACAAAATAATAATAAATTTGAAGGTTTCCTAAAAGTTACACTTTACTTTTGTTTTTCATCCTTGCATAACTATCTAGTCATTATGTATTTTAGAATTAGAATAAAAAAAGTATTTTAAGTCTAACCGCTATAAATTATATTTTTATTAGCTTAATTATTTTGATAAATTTTATTTTTATATAAAATTTAGTTTTTAAGTCAACATTATTTTTATTTACATATTTCATTAAAGTATACTTTATAAATTTGATTTACATATTTCATTAACGAAAATCTCATGAACCATTTGTGTGTTATTCTAAAGAAATACACAAGGGAAAAGTACGTAATAACACGCACTAGCTGCAGAGAGGAACGAACTGTTTTATCACTTTATGACTATAAAAATATAAAGGCGGGACCTCACATCCTGTCTTTGAAATCAGATGCAAAAGACTTTACTAATTGAGTTAATTGATACCTTCTTATTTCTCTCTATATATATATAAAGAAAATCGAAAATTTGTAATTATTAATTGTTATTAAATTTTTAATTAGTTATTAATTATAAAAATATATTTACATGTTTCTTTACCTGAAAAACTTTAATACTTTTTATCGTGACCAAAGTTGGTTTTAATTTCAAAATTATTAAAAAAAAAAACAAAATTACCATGCATTAATTACAATATATATATATAAGGAAGAAATCATATATACAATTTAAAAACTTAGCTTTAATACGACAAATAAAATTTGTATAAATAAATATATTTAAATATTGTGAAATGGTTACAAATTATAATAAATATTACATATAGTGACATATAAAAAGTGTCACTATAAGTATAATATTTGTAAGTATATATTTATTTGGCATATCAAAATTTTAGTGTTTGTGTGTCATTATACCTTATTCCCACACTTTTTAACAATATACCAACACATATTATATTTATTGTGTAGATAAAAGTAGTTTTTAGTGATATTTATTGTGTACTATAGGATGTGTGTCATTATATGACAATTTCCTTGTAGTGAAAATAGTATATGACTCTTGTGAAATTTTAAATTATTTCAATATAGTTTATTGTAATTTTTGTAAATAAATTTCTTAAGTTATTTAAACTAGTTTTGTTGTCAAATTTATTATTGAACACGTAAATCAACAAACATGATTATTCTAATTCAAACAGTGGTATCGAGTTCGAGTGATTTTAGGTATAAAATTATACTAATTAAATAATTGTGTTATTCAAATATTCACAGTTGTAAAATCCAATTTTAACTTCCTCTAAAAAAAAATCCAATTTTAACAAGTTTATTTTCGATAAAAATACATGTAGATTAAACTTAATAATCAATAAAAAAAATTATTGCATAAATTTTATGTGTTAAGAGTTTCTTTTTATAGATGTTATAAGAGTTTATTAAATAATGTTTAATTAAGTTATTCATCCGATCTCATTCTTTGTGTTCATGTTAAATTTTTCTAATAGTGCTTGAAAATTAAGATATAATTATAGCACTTTATAATAGTATAGACGAAAAAAAATACTAAGTATTAAAAAATTTATAAATTGATTAATATTAATTTTACATTTTAAATTTATATTGATTGATAAAATTAAACTAAAATTTGAAATGAATTATATATTAAACTTGGTACGTATATAAATAGTAGATAAACATTTTTAATGAATCTAAAATAAACTCTAATACTATTTTAAAATGTAAATTTAGACATAATTCAACTTTATAAAATTGACTTATAAAATAAAAAATATTATCCTCTTATACTCTATCTTTATCTTATTCTAATCAATAAGAAATTTAATTTTTTTTCAAACACATCTCTTCATATCTAATATTTTTAAGTTTGATATGTAAATAAATAAATAAAAAGGTGACTTTTTAAAATAATTTAAGATCGGTAGGAATTGACTTTTTTTTTCTTCTAATAATAAGAAACAAATAATAGTATAGTAGTATATTGATAAATAAAATTTTATTAAAAAATTAAATAAAAACAATTATTTCTTAAATCAGTTAAGTCAAGAGTTCAAAGTTTAAATAAAAGTTTGAACAATTTGTTTGTTTATAAATCAAACTCAAACCTTTAAGTTTTGCACTCAATCGATATTCATTTACACTGTAGAGGTGTTGGTATGGTTTCACAAAAGCTTTTAGGATTTTTTCGATAACGACGTAAAGATTGCCTTCCTTTTATAATCCTTCGTCATGGTAAGTAATATATAATACAATGGTAATTAATTAATGATTCCACAAAGATGATGAAGAGAACAACGTCATCGTATGTCATGATATTGAAAAATAAGAAATAATCCAAACCATTCACCTAACCTTTGTTTTTTTACTCTTCTTTATCTATATTATCACGATTACTTGGTATTTTATTATTAACACGTAATTGTTTCTTTGGAACATCATTGTTTGTTTAATTTCGATTTTGTATTTTTTCTTTTATTTTTTTCATAGTTATTTTAGATATTATACTCGTGAAACATAATCTGTTACTTCAAAAGTAATTTTAATATGTTACAATTTTTTTTTCTTATCAACACTTTGTTTTTTGTTTTTATACCTCGAGATATATCTGACATACCACAAGTCGAACTTATCTTGAATTACACATGGGACTTTATCATTCGACTTCATAAGTATGTGGATTTCCTTTCCCTCCATAAAATCAATTTTAACAACACTTAATCAGTAGAATAATATTATTAATTATGATAACAAGAGCATTAATCCTAACATTTAATATTTCTGTCTATTAACAAATACTAACAGTTTTTTTTTTTACAATCAATCCTAATGGGAGTTTTTTTATTTTTATTTTTTATTTTATTTTTTAACCGCTAATCCTAATGAGAGTTAACAAATAATATTGTTGTGTGATAAACGAGGATGTAATAAATCCAGTGATGCACATGAGAGGTTAGTTCATGTCTATGAATTAATTGAGATATTAAGTTATTTAGAATATGTATTAGACTTAATTGATATACTATGAGTCATTTAGTGTTCTTTGTATTTTTTTTAATTCTCGGTGGTTAATTTTTGTTTATATTTATCTATTGTCTTCAAAATTTAATACAATTATTATTTAGTCGATTATATCTTTATGTTCTACTTAATTTTTTCATTCATTCATTTACACATTTATAATTAATATACATTTATTGTAGAGTAAAAATAAAAATAAAAATAAATAATTCAAATTATTTTTGTAAGAAAATTATTATGTAAAAGACGTAATTTTAACATCTACCTAAGGAATTCAATAAAAGTTCCTTTAAACAAAAGGGTTCTCTGAATGAACTCTTTAGCACACATCTATTTTATTTAAACAAAAAGTCATCATGCTTATAGAACTTATCACAAATAATTTCTTTACGATCTTTCAATAACTTGCTAAAGTGTAAATCATCATGATAGAATTCCTTTATGTGTTCAAAATCAAGTAACATAGTTTCTAACATAAAAAAGTAGAGTATACTTCCTAAGATAAAGCATAGATTACAATGTTAGGTCTGTTTTGTTTATGTTTGATCGCATAAAGAAATTGCTGAATAAATCCAACCTATTTAACATGTGTTTTATTGAAGTTGTCTTAACCTTTCATATACTTAAGGAATTCATGGTTATTATGCATGAGAATTTCTTTGGTTGGTATATAAAAATAATAAAGACTGTTAAAAAGTAGTAACATAGTATTTTTAGAAGTTAATCTGCATATTAGGAATTAATCGACAAGGATCCATTAGCCCTCAAATTATAGTGTAATTGATGCTTTCATAATTGTCCGTTGCTAATAGTGATCTCCATTAATCCAACATAATCGAAATTTGAAAAAAGAAATAAAAATGTTTGATGAGTATAGTATGGTGTGGGAAATAGCGGTGGGTTGGCTAAGGCTAAGGGCAACTGAGGAGAATAAGTTAGGGGTGTCTCTTACTGAAGCAAATGGGGTGGAAGAGCGATAAGCCGGCACCCGTCGCTTTCGGAGGCCAACAAACCCTGCAAGAAAATGGCCGCGTGGTTTGGGTGACGCAGCTCAGTGCTGACCTGGCGATACAGTGGGCCCCACATGTCGGCCATGAAGGCCCATCCCTACGTGTTCCCTGGCCCACATGTCCACCGCCCCACCTACAGCAAAAGTTTTTTTAATCCTTTGTCCCCTATACCCGCCTTAAGCCCCTCCCCATCCTTCCAAAACCAATATTTCCTTTGCCTTCTCAACGTGACCTGGACCCTCACATGCCACGTCACTACCCCTCCCCCACCACCACCCTATAAATACCCCTCCCTCCCTCCCTCATTTCCCTGCACCACCACCTCCTCTCTCATAATTACTCGTTACTCGTTACTCGTTACCATCCCCCTCACTCATCATGGCCGTTCAATCCGACATCCTCATCCCCTTGCCCCGTGACCGTGACCACAAGAGCGCAAAGCCTCTTCACTTCATCGAAGAACTCACCCTTAACACCGACCCCATCCAAGAGAAAGTCCTCGCCCAGATTCTCTCGCAAAACGCCCACACAGAGTACCTCAAACGCTTCCATCTCAACGGTGCCACCGACCGTCAAACTTTCAAGTCCAAGGTTCCTGTCGTCACTTACGAGGATCTTCAGCCTGATATCCAACGCATTGCCAACGGTGACCGCTCCCCCATCTTTTGCTCCCACCCAATCTCCGAGTTTCTCACCAGGTAAACTAACAAATCGATCACAATCATCTTTTATACCATTATTTCATTCAACAAATTCAAATTCCTAACGATTAATAAAAATGACAGTTCTGGAACATCTGCCGGCGAGAGAAAGTTGATGCCAACCATAAGCCAAGACATGGACCGTCGCCAGTTGCTGTACAGCCTTCTCATGCCTGTGATGAACCAGTACGTTTTTTGTTTTTCTTTTTGTTTTATCATTGCAATTAATACCAATTACTCCTTTTAACGAATGAATCAACTAACTTTGTTTGTTTCCTTGTTCACAGATACGTTTCCGGTTTGGACAAAGGCAAAGCGCTTCACTTCCTCTTCATAAAAGCAGAGACGAAAACGGCCGGAGGGTTAGTGGCGCGTCCAGTGCTCACCAGCTACTACAAGAGCGAGCAATTCACGAAAAGACCATTCGACCCTTACAACGTCCTCACAAGCCCCGACGAAGCCATCCTCTGCCAAGACTCCTTCCAAAGCATGTACACGCAAATGCTTTGCGGCCTCATCATGCGCCACGAGGTCCTCCGCGTCGGAGCCGTTTTCGCCTCCGGCCTCCTCCGTGCCATACGCTTCCTTCAGCTCAATTGGGAACAGCTAGCCCACGACATCAAAACCGGAACCCTAAACCCAAAAATCACAGAACCCTCCATCAAACAATGCATGTCCAAGATCCTCAAACCCGACCCCGAGCTCGCTGATTTCATCACAAAGGAATGCTCCGGAGAAAACTGGGAACGTATAATCGTTCGAATTTGGCCCAACACAAAGTACCTCGACGTTATAGTCACGGGTGCCATGGCTCAGTATATCCCCACTCTTGATTACTACAGCGGTGGCCTACCTAAACCTTGTACCATGTACGCTTCCTCCGAGTGTTTCTTCGGACTCAACCTTAAACCCATGTCCCAACCCTCTGACGTGTCCTACACCATTTTACCAAACATGGGTTACTTCGAGTTCCTGCCCCATGACGATTCCAACCCTATTACCCTCTCCAAGGACTCACCCCCTCGCTTGGTGGACCTAGCTGACGTGGAACTCGGCAAATTCTACGAACTCATCATCACCACCTACGCGGGTCTTTGCCGCTACAGAGTCGGCGACATCCTCCAGGTTACCGGTTTCCACAACTCCGACCCGCAATTCCGCTTCGTGAGGCGCAAGAACGTGCTTTTGAGCATTGACTCTGATAAAACCGACGAAGCGGAGCTTCAGAAAGCCACCGAGAACGCTTCGGAGTTGTTGAAGGAGTTCAACACGAGCGTGGTGGAGTACACGAGCTTCGCTGACACAAAGTCCATTCCGGGGCACTACGTGATTTACTGGGAGCTTTTGATGAAGGACTCGTCTTGCCCTCCCACGGAGGAGGTTCTGAACAAGTGCTGCTTGGTGATGGAAGAGTCTCTGAACTCGGTGTATCGACAAGGGAGGGTTGCGGATAACTCCATTGGGCCGTTGGAGATACGAGTGGTGAAGAATGGAACGTTCGAGGAGTTGATGGACTACGCTATCTCGCGTGGGGCGTCGATAAACCAGTACAAAGTGCCAAGGTGCGTGAGCTTCACGCCCATAATGGAACTACTCGACTCTAGGGTCGTTTCCTTTCATTTTAGTCCAGCTGCACCGCACTGGACCCCAGAACGTCGTCGTTGAAGGGTAACGTACAACGGTACAACAACAACATGCAGTAGTCATGCATAATAAGACGAGAAAAGAAAAGAAAACAACCATGACACAAAAGGGTCGCTACTCGTTGTTGTTGCTATCAGTTATCGCCACCAAACCCCAAAGTATCTGTATTTGTTGATTTGATATTTCCAAAGTGCTTGTCTTTCCATCATGTCTTTATTTTTTTTTTCTTTCTCTTTTTGGCTGTGTCTTTGTTAAACAGTTAACTTTATTTGTCTGTTAAATAAGTTCAATTGCATATGGGTGCGTCATGTAATTAATTGTTGTGTAAATGCTTGGAATGGAAACCATGTTTACACCCTGTATTTTGAAATGACGTGGTGATGGAAACCGTTCATGTTTAGGGTGTTTGGATTTGGTAAGAATTTAACTTGTGATGTGATTAATGATCCAGCAATGTTGAAGTTATCTCTTTCAGTAGGCACTATGCGGGTGTACTTTTGTGCACGTGCTACATATTCTGTCTGTGGCACTAGCTAGGTTGGTTTGGAATGAAAGTAGAGTGTGAACTGTGTCAAGTGCGAACGAACGGTATTTAATTTTAGGTTTAACCTTTTAATAAATAAAATTGTTTGGGGCATTATGTTCTTGGAAGCATCTCACAAGACCTTTATACCGCACTGATGCGGGAGGTTTAGTGCGTGGCTGCGTGAGGGAGCTCATTACTGTCACAATTGACAGCCTTATTCTATAATTTTCAATTACTTTAGATTAAATTTGGTAGCGTTTTTAACTAACATCTTTGACTCTCTTTTTTACCCCATCTCTGAAGAAAACGTAGTGGAGGATGATTTCTAGATATCTACTTCCTACGGAATTTCAAATTGTTGGAATTGGAATATGCTTTAAAAATGAAAACAAGAGTGTCAAATTCCATATATAGTGTTTCTTACGTTTTAGCTAGTTAGTTAACATATTTGACTGCCTTTAAACCTATTTGACCAATGAGTAATAAGCAACACGAGTTGTATCACTGTCAATATTGCTGCGAAAGTGGCAGTGATATATGATTCAATGTTGTACTTGAATGCCCATTAAAGCAACCAAAAGAAAAGGGAATAATTATATTTAAATATTAAGATCACTAATGGAGATCAAGTTATTTTAATATTTTAGGACTAATTTGGAGTAAAATTATTTTGTTTAATACTACTGACTCATATATATGCCGATGTATTATTAATTAAGTGAGAATAATTATTATTTTAAGAATATAAAAACTTTAAATTCAAATGAGACAATCATATATGATTCATGAATGACCAAAGTTATGAGTTGTTACGTGTTGGGTAACCACTAAGTTATATGTGATTTAATTTTGATCATTTAAATAAATTTGAACAAAAAAAAATGTAGTTTAGTTCTGTTTTTATCTCCTTTTGAACATAAAATAAATAATATATTCATAGATGTCATTTCTCACACTAATTAAGAAGTGTTCTCTTCTGTTATGTCTATATATTATATATGTTTATTTTTTTTTTATTTTTTTTGAATAAATGTTTATGTATATAAATATTAATAACTTATTTCAATAATTATACATTAAATTTAGATTATCAAATATTTGTAATTACGTAAATCTTATTGTTGAAACATGCTTGTGTTATAGGAAGTATATTATTTATATCTTAAAGCATATTTTTAATTTAGTTTTTATATAAATAAACAAATTTATCATTTATGATTGGATTTTTTTTATAAAAGTTGTTACACTTAACTTGAGTAAATGCATACATTACTTTACTCCTAACTTATTCATCAAATATATATATATATATAAATTTTTCTTTATGAAAGAAAGTTGTATAAAAATGCCATACAAATAAAAGTTCAAAAGGAAAACACGTCGAATTTGTTACGCACGTGAACGCGGGATGCATGAGATCACACATCAGCACTGTTTATATTTATCACGAAATACAGTAATTTTAATATTTTATAATGTTATTCCTAGACTTGATATTGTTGTGCTAATTCTTTTCATCCATTCGAAAGTATTAATATCAACAGATATAAAACTTTGTTAGAAGAAAAAAAATATTAATATATAGGATATTCTCCTATAAATTAGTTAGAAAGTGGGCAAATAGTTAACCTTATATCGTAGCCGTTGGCGAGGGCATAAGAGATATATATTTAGTTCAAGTAGACCTGGTAAATGAATTTTGTATTAGTTACTATTTATTTCTACGCCTTAATCGTGTCATCGATCATTTCCGCAGACTTGTAGCATAAATTTGATAACTATTAATAAAAATTGTGATGAACATATTGTCTCCTGAAAACCAAATAGTTAGAGGTTGGTTATGCATTTAGCTCGGTGTAAATTAAAATCCTCCCTTCTTTAATTAATCTAGCCATATGTTTAAAACCAAACCAATAGAGTTTATCTTACATCCAATAAGTTGATATAATGTTTTCAAATATATGTGTGCATATTGCATAAAATATATAAGTAATCAGAGAATTTACATGTTTAGATTGGAGTTGTCTTATAATTTCATGTTTAAATGATATAAAATTGAGGAATTAAGCGTTTACTCAATTTTGAAATCATTTTTATGTAAGTTTTTCATTTTCCCAAACATGTATATTATGCTCAAATTGGTGTATATATATATATATATATAT